AGCAACCCTATCCTGTAAAAATAAACACTGCTACAAAAGTTTGAAGCCTCTAGCCCTTAGCTTATTAGGAAGTAACTTCTCTTGTTAAGTAATTCGAATTACAGTTTAGTCATCATTACGACTAAATTTAAACATTAAAATATTTCCATTTATCTCTCACAGTAACATGTGACTCTGCGCAAATGCTAAGAATTCATTTGATGTTAGCTTATTCAAGCATACTTCCCCTACAAGAGGAAGTACGGAGGACAATTTTAAAAACAGCCTGTTCATAGTTTCTATTTTTAGAATGCCTTGTGTTCTACTTCTGATTTTTGTTTTGCCCAATTTTAAGGCCTGTTTTAACTGTTACGATTGCTGTGGATTAAATAGTGAGTAATTTCCAGCATTCAATATACTTAGCTGCAGAGAGATTTTGGAGTAATAAGAAGATATGAAGAAAAGACTTTATATATTTCCCTATATGAATACACGCAGCAATAGAATGTTTGGTTTATTTGTAGCTACTGAAATTGCACAGCTTACACCATATTTGTTAATGATAGTTAATTAAGATATTTGACCTTTTTATACAAGCATACAGACTCTACAGAAAGCCATATAGCAAAAAAAGCACAGCCTAAGTTGTCGAAATGGAAATTGAAACTCTACTTTAAAGAAATCTGAAACTGATTCATTATTTTAAAATTTAGTTGACCAGAAATCACCGGTAAGCAAATGAGTGCTCTACGGTCTGATGAGTAATAATAGAATCCAATACCTCGGATAGCCAACTTCCTAGATCTCTGCAGATGACAATTACCACCACCATCATCATCATCATCGTTATCGACCACCTGGACTACATGTCCTGAAGATAGGACTATGTTTTATCAAAGTCTGATTACAAATTGGCGTCAGTTATAATAACAATTATACAGAATGGAATTTTCAACGGTTTTACACAAACTGTAACAGTTTAGCTCCTTTTACAAATTGGTAAATACATAAAATTTTAAAAAGTAATAGTAATATTAATAATAACAGCACTATAAACAGGATGTTGTTGGAAACAAAAGCAACTCTAAGCAGATTATATCATACATAACACATGTAATCACAATTTCTGCTTACATCTTACTATTCAGTTACTGACTTAAAAAGTTTATAAGTTCTTTTCTGACATCTGGCTCCTCACACAAAACCCGTGCTAAATGTGGTATGGTAGAATTTTTATATATAGTAGCTGTACAAGCATAAATTCTTATGAAATTTCTTCTAGTTTTACCCGAGAATATACAAGGAAAAAGTTGTGAACAAAGAGGAAGCTCGGTATCAGACAAGATAACTTTAGCCAACTGCTTGCAAGAAGTGAAGTGCCAATTGAAAACACTGTCAGTTAACTGAGTCAAAGGAACACCACTAACCGTACTTACAGCCTTCAGTGTTCTACGTAATATGATATAGTCTTTCTTAAGAAGTCCAGGGAAGAATAAGGGCGAATGCTAAAGAAGAATGTGTGGAGTACATGAATTAGCAAACTGTAAAAGAAGAGATTGAGTTATGCCAGAGAGTCTCAACTTCTTTATATCATAAGTCAAGAGGATATGAGACGACCACTACAGATTCGAGGAGAAACTGATGTCCAGATGAGAGATATTCGATTTACTTCCTATCACAGTGCGTCAGTATTTCAGGAATCATGTGACTGAGTCAGTCTACGCAAGTCCTGTTCGCATCTGAAAAGGAAATCATCAATATGACATTTAAGGGATTCAGTTTAAGACCATTTAGGTGAGATCATTTTTAACTTCGGAGAGGAATCTGCTCAATCCAAAACAGAAACCGTTGGGACAGAAATGGCTAGATCATCGGCATATTTAGTGAAGTTAGCTTTGGAAGAATATAGGAGGTTGAGCGAAACGAAAGAGAAAATGAATGGTGACAGTACAGCGTTTTGAGGCACACCAGTCTCCGTTATCGACTAAGTGGAGCGCTTTTCATTCAAAACAGTGTGTTGTTTTCTACCCGAAAAGTAAGATGACAGCCACCTTGTGACTCAGGACCCAGTGTTAGCTGAAATCAGACTGCTTAATAAAAGTGCCCTAGGAAAAGAGTCGAAAGCAGCATCTGTAAGATGATAAATCAAAGATTTGAGTAAGAGAATAACACAAAATATTAGCACAGTTTTGATGCAAAATGCTTGGTACACCATTGGTTCCTAGGCTGTGTGGTATATTTAAGGATTTGAGACATGTTAGTACATCATTTCCATTAAAACTTAGGAAATAATCGTTTACGTGTTTAGAAACATCAGGTCCAGTCATATTAGCTTGTTGCATTATAATAGATCTATTCAAAGCGTTGATATCAGAAAAAGCAACAACTGAAATTTGTTTTTTGATTGTCAGGAGAATTCTTACATGATCAAATTTTATTTTCAGTATGTATCCCATTTGGTCTTTGTATTTCAGACTTTATCAAAGAGTTTATTTTTCGAACACCAGCATAATCATATGACTTACACAAATTTACTTTTTCTATTCTAAGCTTTTTCAGTTATGGAGAAGAGTTGCTATCAAATCTCGTGGACAGTATTTCAGTAGGACAGCAAATTTTCAAACAGAACTTGAGATAAGGGGTAATATTAGAGATAGTAACGTCTGACACTTGATCAAAGAATAAGTCCCAGTCAGTATCGTGTAACATACATCTTAATGCTTGAATATTGTCATTTGAATAAGATCGTTCTTGGATTTTCTTTGTAAGGTGGACAAAGGCCCTTCTGTATAACTTGCCATACACTTTCGGTAAGATACGAATAATGCAATGGTCAGAATTCAGCAATGGAGTTCTCCTTCGCATCTTGTATTTGTCACGATAGTCTATGCAAACCAAGTCTAGTGTTTTGTCCAACTCAGTATTGAATTTGACCACGTTTTCATGACCAAGTGATTTAAGAAAGGTGTAATCGGAGGAATTAAAGGCCCCACAGACTACTGACAAGGAATTTTGAAAAATAGGAACAGGAAATTCAGTAAATTCGTCTGCGAAGGTAAACATATCAGAGGAACTGTATCTAAAGTCATACAAAATTTGTTATCTATATGTAAGAATATTTGTTTAAGTGCTTTGGACGACACCTAACATTCATGCAGTCTATATTGTCATTGAAAAACCTAAAACACACATGATTAGTTGTAGACCACTTTGTCTTAATAAAAGCAGCTGCCTCTCCTCTATCCTTTTTCTTTGAACTATGTCTGTCGTGACGGAAAATTTTATATTCATTTCCTCGACATTGCCATGCAACGCCTAGCAGACGGTAGTCCTCAGAAGTCAGTTTATCGAAAGCCTATATGGGAAGGACAATACCTTCATCTTAATAGCTTTTCTCCAGATAGCTTTAAATGTGGTCTAGTCAAGACTCTGTACTATAGAGCGAGAAGAATACGCTATATTGAGAAATTAGAGGAAGAATTTGAGTTTCTTGAAAAGATATTGAAGAGCAATGGGTATCCTCAAGGGTTCATCAACAAGTATGGGAGATATGAAGTCGCAAATGTAAAACAAATCACAGTGGGAAAAAAGCCAATCTACGTCCAGCTTGATTATAAAGGTGAAAACATTTCAGCGATGATCAACAGAAGGCTGAGTACATCACTAGCCATAGCCTATCCTGCAGCTAAGCTCGTTTCCGTCTATCGAACAACTTGCTCTTTGGTGCAATCAAAAATCGATAGATATCCTTATCATGTTAACTCCAACTGTATATACAAATTTACATGTATCTGCGGGAGCAGTTACATTGGAAGGACAGAAAGAAGGGCATATCTACCATTTTCTGAACATGTACCAAAAAGCTTACGTCTAAAGGGAACAAATGCTTTAAACATTGCCATCGCCAGGCATCTTCTCGATATGGGTCATGAGGTGGACGTCGAAAAGTCGTTCAAAATTATCAATAGGCAAAAGAGTTCAATTCTCCTTAAGTTTGCTGAAGCCATTTCCATCAAGCGCCTGAAACCTGATTTATGCGTCCAGAAAGAAGCGATTATCAGTCTTTCTTTGCCCTGGTAACTGGATATTGTCATCTCTCTTTCATCTGAATGTGTAATGCTGAAAAGTTTCCATTGTGTATGATTATTATTGTTCGGAATAGTGTTTAATATTACATAAATATGTATATATTATTACTGTATGCATATAATGATTAACTGATCTTTGTTTAAAATGAACTCTGTGCAAGTATGTTAAAATTGTTTTCGTAGATATATTTAATAATGTCTTTGGCCTGTAAGCAACTGACGAGAAGGCAACGAAATAAAAGATGATACCACTTTATTCTGCTAAAACTGTAGTTCTTTCTTTGTTCAAATTTATTAAGGGGAATAGATGTATGAAATTAATGAGATTAGATTGTCATCATATTCCTGATACAGCCAAGTCTCTTGTGTAGCTAGAACACCAGCATTTCGATACACATTTGGTGATATTAGAGATTGGTGATAGTCCAGTTTGTTAGACAGAGACCTGAAGTTATTACTAACAACTTCGAGGATAGTCATATGAGCGATTTCTCTACGTTTTAACGCACGCTACCAGCTATTGTGATGTTTTTTCCTTAATTTTCAACGATGACCCAAAGCGATAGGTTAGAAACATTTAAAAAATATGCGAAAGCACCCACGACTCCACCAGGGATAAAACTCAAGAACTTCAGGTTACGAGTACAACAACCTGAAGTTCGATCCTTGGTGGGGTCGTGGGCATTTACTTCTAAGGATTCCTAAACCAGAACGAAACAAATGTCCAGTACTCCCTAATTTTCAGTGGTTCCCTAACTGACATCAGTTAGTAATCAAACTTAGGACAAATCAAGTCCCTACAGATTTAACTCTTGATGACTAATTTTCTTAATATGGGATTAACAATAATGCATTATTTCTATGTGAGTAAATAATATAATTATCTATCTGTTTGACTGTGATTTTTGTTTTTGGATTTTTCTTACAAAACAGGCATATCACTCATTACATGAACTACGCAGTGCAATACATTCATGGTCAAATGAAATGATGATTAACTGGAGAGAAAGGGAGTTTTCAGGGACATATGAAGAAGCATTGGAAATATCTGGTTTAATACAGGTAAAGGAAATCTATTTTAAATGAAATATTTTCCTGTACACAAATGAAAGCAGTCCTAATTATCTATTCATTGACTGGTCATATTCGTGATGAAAGCAATTAAAATTTTCTCATGATACCGGAAAATGTTTACAGCGATGTAAAAAGCTAGACTGAATTCTCGTTTTTTTTGTAACCCAACTAGATGGCTGAATGGTGGAATAATATCAAGACAGCTTCCCATTAGTTATAGTTCTTTATACGGCAGTTTCTTTTACATTACTACCTGTTTTGTGCAATAGATAGTTAGAGAACCAGTGAAAACTATTGGGGAGTACTGGACAGCTGTTTCAGCCTAGTTCGGGAATCGTTGGTGGTACGCACCCACTGAGGTTCGAATTCAGGGGCTTCCAGTTGTAAATTAAGCTCGTATACCATTCAGTCAGTAGAACCCGCCTCAAGTACTCCCTGGTTTTCAATCGTTTATCTAACTGATATCAATCCGTGGGCAAACTCCAAAAATAAACTGATCCTTACAAGCCAACTCCTAAAAATAAATAGTTAAATAACACATCCATACACGATATACATCTTATTTTATTTGAGGTTTGTCAGAGAGATCTATATGTAACCAGTAAGTTCTAAGTGTTGACGGTCATCCATCTAAAATGGAACTTAGAAGCATACCAAATTATCTATGACATAAATTCATATGAAAATAAATAAATGATCAGTTCTTGATAAAATTTGAAAAAAAATCAAATCTCTACAAATTAACTCTTGAAAATTAATGCGATTCCCATTATTGATTGATTAGAAGACGAATTCGCCTGGATTTCTGCTGAGAAGTCGTGACCAGTGAGGTTCATCAGGCCAGATGTCAAGACAAGTACTCGCCAGGGACTTTGGCTTGTGGTGCCACTAAAATTACTAATTGACATGATTTAGAATTGATGGGTCACTGGATTTTGTCTTAGTGGCTAAAAAGTATGTGAGTTCGCCTTGTAACTCGTAGGTCTTTGATTTGATCCCTGGTGAGAGCGTGTTTGTTTAATGCTCAAAAGTTCAAAACTATGATGATATAGGTCCAGTACTCCCGATTTCTAATGGTTCTCCAACTGACATCAATCCCTTATCGCATATGAAATACGACAGATCCCTAAAAAATGTCTCTCGATAAAAAGTGAACGAAATATTCCCATATTGAGTCATAAGAAAAAGACGTAAACAGCGAAGAAAATTTCCTTTTCGACGATTCAATTTCATGAGCTGTACAGTCGTAATTATATTCAACAAAGAAATTTTTAGACCAATCAGATACTGGAAAACTTTCTCCTCGAAAAATGCATTACATAATGTGAGGTATAATCTAGAAGGGACAACTAATTGTAAGTTAGAAAAGAGGTAGAAGTTGGCATGACGTAATAAGTGTGAGATAATGACTAATCAATAAGCTGATATAGAATGGACAGGAAATGGTGGAAAGGCGATAAAGTGTTTTTATATAGAATCTGTATGAAAAAAACAATGTTATCGATAAACAGTAACAGAGTGGTAATAAAATATGGATGATGTGAATAATAATGATAATAAAATAATAATAATAACGATAATAATAGTAAACTTACATAATAAGGAAGAAAGAAGCAAAATTATAGTGAGGACCTCATTCTGACCACGGTAAGTCGAGTGAATGTATGTATCGCTTCTGAATGTCATCTCCGGACATCGATCAGCTCCGCATAAATGCTTCACATTGCTAGACAGAGTCCCTCAATATCGTACAAATGGACTTCGCTTGCGCCATCTGCACACAGCTGAAGCATTAGCTATTCGAGATCTGAAACCGGACCTCTGAATTTAAAAGCGATACATATATTCTCTCAACTTACCGTGGTCAGAGTGAGGTCCTCACTATAATTTTGCTTCTTTCTTCCTTATTATGTAAGTTTACCATTATTATTGTTATTATTATTATTTTATTATCATTATTATTCACATCATCCATATTTTATTACCACTCTGTTACTGTTTATCGATAACATTGTTTTTTCATACAGATTCTATATAAAAACACTTTATCGCCTTTCCACCATTTCCTGTCCATTCTATATGAGCTTATTGATTAGTCATTATCTCACACTTATTACGTCATGCCAACTTCTACCTCTTTCCTAACTTACAATTAGTTGTCCCTTCTAGGTTATACCTTACATTATGCAATGCATTTTTCGAGGAGAAAGTTTTCCAGTATCTGATTGGTTTAAAGATTTCTTTGTTGGATATAATTACGGCTGTATAGCTCATGAAATTGAATCGTCAAAAAAGAAATTTTCTTCGCTGTTTACTCCTGTTTCTTATGAATAGTTAAATTCAAATCATGTAAAACAACTGAATGTTTAAGGTATAGAGAAATAAAAGAAAAATGATACTCTTTGCATGAATAATCGATTCCTGTAATTCTGTAGGTTAGCAAACAACAATTTAAAGTTTGAAGCGATGGTCATTATAGTGAAGTCAAATGACAAATAGGATGAAATGCCCATCGTTTATTCCCCTTTTAAGCTGACCAAATAAAACTGAATTAACTGATGGTCAGAATGAATAATCATTAATATGTTTTCCACTTTTTTTCAGTATAATCTTAATTAAGACAGAATATATATATATATATATATATATATATATATATATTCAGATCTCATTAATTTTAGTTGATTGAGAATGACCTCAAAATTGCCAGTATTTATTCACCTTTGTCATTAAAATACTCTCCTGTAAGTGGTCGACATCTTGTGCTCAGTTAAGAACTAACAAAAGTAGATAACCCATTAATTTCATTCTGCTTCTATTAGAATTTTGTTTTTCTTATGTAGGCAGAAAAAAGGGCAATAGAAATGTTGTGTACTTCTATCCAGAATATTTAGGTAAAGAAAAGCATGAAAAAGAAAATAGAATTCGTTCCATTTACATGTTTTTTTAACAAGTCTGTATACTCATATATGACTACATTTCATAAGCAGGTACAGGAATCTGACAGACTAAATTACACTTCTTTGTAGTTAGTGATTAGAGAAAATAGGTAATGTAATTACTTCATATATTATGATCAGAATTGACTTTTTGTGGTCTGAACTTATGTAACTGATCTCTGTGTTCTACTGTATAGCTGACAGAATTTTGTTAAGACACAAACAGTCACATAACGTTCTAAAGATAGCGAAGAGACGCATATTCTATTCAACAATAATGACACTTAAAACTCAAGCGATGGGTAGTGGATTTGAGCCTCAGTGAGAAAACGATCATTCACTGAAGGATGCAAGTATATCCAGCTGACAAGTCCCAGATAGAACCAAATGCGCATCCTGAATTTAACTGCTAGTCACCACCAAACAAATTACTTCAAGAAGAAGAAGAAGACCTTAATATCTGACGTAAGAAGGAATTATTTTTCTTAGAAAAATTGATAAATTCCAATAATAGCCAACTTGTTCACGGGACAAGACATCTGAGTGAAACCATCGAGTTGTTTCCAGGTGTATGACTGATACTGATAACTTTTTTCACTTCTTAGCCTTCTGAGTGGAACATAGAGCTTCGAAATTGAGGTCCGACATTTAAGCAGAAGTGTTTATTGTGGGTGGGTGCGGTTGCTTGTCTCACATTCCAACTTCTCTCTTAAACACGTCTTACTACCAGCTTGTCAACTAGGAGAGGTTTAGCAGTACACTACCTGGGAGTTGAATCCCGGACCACGTGAGCGAATGGTAAGTGTTCCGCCGACTCATGAGACTGATGACTTCTTGTTAGCGGATTATTTGCATGTTTGTTTTCATGTAAGTGTATCATATCAAGAGTTCTCAAACATGAATATCTCAAACGTGTGGTTTTTATTCTTTCACATTCCCAGTGGAACATACGGCTTCAAGCAAGAGCTTTGAAGTTTTGGTAATAATGGTATTTAGTTTTAAGGAATGGGGTTTCTAGCCTCATAGTCAGCCTTCCTTCTTTACCACTCTTATTACTGGCTTAGCAAGGTAAAGAAGTGCATCGGTCAGGGGTCGAATCCCGAACCACTTTCCTGGTTGGCGAGCATTCAACCACTAAGCCACCGATGCACAAACGTGTGGTATTGAGAAAATTCTACTTCTTTTTAGGGCTTATCCCAATAATACTGGCAGGATAACAATTGAAAGTCAGCTAAAGTTAAAAGTACTTCAATAAATGTGCACATTCGACAGATATACCTGGTTAAAATTCTTGATTACTGAATATAATTTGCAAAATTTGTTCTACTGGATACTTCTTGACAGTGTAACCAACTGTCATATATATATATATATATTCTTATATACTGAATCTTTTAGAATACTCGTAATCATTATTTATCGTGTTGGTATAAAACTGATCAACTGGTCGGAATACAATCACAAATAGTTTCACTTTCTCTGGGTTCTAAATTTCCACCAGAAAAGTCTAAACTACTGTGCAATTGTCAGTTACATGAAGTAAGTTGGTCTGTTTTTCACTCCTTTTGATGTTCATCTGTCTTTGTATTTATGTCAACAAAGAGGTATCAAGCCTAAAGTAATTCATTTTTTTAGATTATTTACTAAGAATACTCCAAAAACACAAGCCAATATCTGACTAAATATTATCTAATGTATCATTGGTTGTTTAGACCGAGAAAAGAAAAATAATCCCATTCATTACATCATGTAGGGGAAGATCGTTCGGCAGGGAATCTTTACCACTTGACTTTAGATTGCACGATCCGTTAAACAGTTCTGCATTAGAACAGTTGGAAATTTCAAGGCAGAATGTTCAACAGCCAAGCCGAAGGTTTGGATCTGATTCCTCGCTGACATTTAAAAAAATCTCGCCTTGTCGGTAACAATTCCAGAAAAGGAGAGAAGGTTGCATATGAGGCTAACAGCCCCACCCCATAAAAGTGACACTACAGCTATTAAAACATCAATGCTTGACGACTGAATTCTTACGTTCCTTTTGGAACAAAAGGAATAAGAGAAAATTTAAGGACGCGAACACTAAAGTGCTTTACACTTCATAAAATCACCAGAGTTTAAGTTGTATATTTGTAACGTTTGTAGAGGTTAAGTTTGGGTGTAAATAATAACTTAGTATCCCATCTTTACTACGAATAAATTAACGTGATCAGAAGCGTAATTTGTATCCAGAGGTTCCGGAAGACAAATTTACTTTATAAAGTTCACTATTTGAGCAAAACTTTCATCAGATCCTCAATGGAATCATAACTAACTAAGTAGATAAGTGCTGCAGGACTGAAATGAAGAGATGAGACAATGAAATAAGGTACATTTCTTTAGCAGTCAAATTACCTTAGGATGTTCAACATGGAAAGACTTACGTTTTTTTATACTACACCTCACAAAGTGTCTTCCTGGTTATCAGATGAATAAAACAAAAATAGCGTTGTGCATCAGATTTCAGTTTTCATTTGACTTACTACTCACTTATAAAAAGTGCGCTTTCAGTGGTCGCCAGTGAGCAGAAGGTTTAGGCAGACAGCTAGTGGTATCATCAGTCCTCACACAGTATGTGTGCCTAATAGAAAACTGCTCGAAAATATGAATGGTTATTGAAATGAGTTGAGTTAAAGTGATATTTGTTCATAGTGGATGAAACTAAGAAAATCAGTCAGCAAAGAGAAAGACTTGAGGAAAAAAAAGCAACTGTGGAATGGCATGTGTGATAAATTTAATTTTGATGATATTTCTAACTTCTGAACTTTTGAATTATCTGGATTCTAAGAAAAACATCATGTATTGGGAGTTTTGTTGGAGTTATATAATACACCATTGAATTATTATTATTCCCTTGGGTTCCGAGTAGAATATAGGGCTTCAACGACACATCTTCAGTTTCTTCTTTTTTCTGCTGTCCTCTTCAGTTGGGTCCACGATTGCCAATAATCTGTCATCCCCTTCTCGCACTGTCTCCTCCATGTAACCCTCGCATCGACGATCCACTCAACGCTTCCCACTAGGATTGCACTCAAGTAATGGCTTGCATTGTGCTCAGTGTCATTCCACTGTCTCCTTAACGTGTGCCCGATCTATCTCTATTTTCTCTTACATATTTGTTGAGCAATCGGCTGCTGGTTGATCTATTGCCAATGCAATTGAATACTAGGGCATTATTTTGTATGTTTGTTAGATATGTCACAAATTAGGATGAAATCAAAAAAAAATCAGAATTATCAAGGAAGACTTCATGAAGGATTTCGAGAGCGAACTTCAGTTTGAGCTTAGTATTGAAGAGTTTCTTCAGAAGTAAAGTGAAAGCTTTACATTTAAAATATTAACCTCAGAGAACATAACAACAGTACCGAGTATACGCGTGCAATTATTATATTTTGCTGTAATGCAGTAAATAATACTATCTGAATAATTAGTAAAGTGGCTAAGTTGTACTTCTACATTTTGTGTAGATATTTAGCTGCAAGTTAAGCCATTAAAACGCTAAGTTATTCCTGATTTCTGTCATGGGTAGGTATTTACAACCTACAAGGTTCTGAGAGCTCTGATAATGCCATCAAAATTTTCAACATTTTAACCAAATAATAGGGAAAATTTATGGCTGAGAATGACGTTATTTCTTTAGAAGTTATTTGGTATTCTAGGAGTTTTATTATTTGACATGAACATGTGCGTCAGTGACACAAAGGTTAGGACCTTCGCTAACCATGCACATAGTCCGGGATTCAATCCCCTACTGACACACACCTGATATAAATTGGTTGGCTTGCAAAATTTGGGCTATCCATATCACATGCTGAAAATTCCATACTTGTACCGAAAGTACTGCGTGGAATGAGGCTATAATCAACATCAAAAAAATCAAATTAAACATTTCAATACCAGACTGTTAGCATTTTCAGGATAAACTTGGTTAAGAAGAGCTGAAAATGAAATGATAAGGCTGAGACAACATCAACCAACTTACTTACTTAAGTGTTCACTACCATATTTAGTGGTTTTGGTAACGATGTTGTTAATTAAATTCTGCCACGATTTTACTGCTTTAATTAGTATTAGTAATTTGTGGGTTGTGATTGAACTGTCTCACCAGTTTCGTTATAAGCCTAAGACACTGAACAAGATTTTAATACAGTCCAGCTGCTTTCAGTTTTATTTGTGCAGATTATTGTTTGTACTTCAGTCGATGAAATGCTCTATGCATTTATATGCAGTACACATTATCCTAAATTATCTGAATATATCTGAGCAAATGTAGCATAATAATCGAAAAGCGCGTCATTTGAAGAGAAGATGAAAGCATGTGGACAGACGCGGAGCCAGGTGAAAATGTTGGCGGAGAACGGAACGCAGTGGAGACGTACAACTGAAGCCCTACGCTCCTCTAGGAACTGAAGGAAACAATAATAGTAATAATCTAGATATATCTATGCAAATTACACTATGATACTATTCCAGTGATTATTAAGACGCATTGAATTTTGGCGATCTATTTATTTCACTTTTGAGATAATAAATAAATCTAAGGCTTTCCGTTGACTGCGTCCAGCCATCTAACAACAATTCAGGATGAGCAGTGATGGCGAGCCACCTAGTATGGTGGCCACATGGCACCAAACAATGAACTAGATGATTGACATTGGGCACTACTCAGCTTTAATCAAATTAAAATAAACCTAAACTAAATACTTAGTTTATTTTAGTTTAAACCAATAAGCATGATTCAGGCTGACTGAACTTCACATTTCACTAAGGTGTTGTTCTGACAATGTAAGCGATTTCATTTATAACTTACTTGACAAACTTGAAACGTTATGACTTCCAATTAATGATTAATCTATAAAAACACAATGATAGAACAAACAAATGTTTGGGTAGAAGCAGTATGTAAGGATTAAAAACAAATAGTCCGACTGAGTAATGTTAAATTGTAGGGAAAGTAAACAAACCATGTTTTGATGATGTAATAGCATAAAGGGATGATAAGAAAGGGGTTAAAGTTATAAACATGGAGTGGTGATGATATCGTCAGTTTGTCAGGTATTAATTAGCCAAGGGAGGTATGAAGGTTTTATGATCTTCTTTTGAATCCATACTTTGAGCTTAACAGTTTAAATGCCCATCTCCTCGGTTATTTGCAGTAGAAGAATACTCAGTATATTCGAAAATTCGGTGGGATGTGATGAATCACCTTCAATACTTACGTTTCCAACACCAATCGACAACCATCCACCAAATGTGACAAAATGGAGCTCTGGATGGTTTTGTCTGTCCCTTAACATACCACAATATGGGATGTTCAGTAACAGTTTGACTAAGCTGTTTGGTAGTACTCTAAAAACATAACTATTTCCACAGGAACAGTTGAATTGATAAATCCACAAGGATGTGGCAAAACCATCTAGTCTATCATTCATTTGAGTCTTAGTCACACGTCGATTAGAGAATGACTAACATAGATTTGCTCAGTGGACTGTTCTCCGTATACCTATGGCTAGCCTTCCTGATCCATAAAAAATATACACTTGTTGTTTACTCAGGGTGACATAACATTTCAAGATAATCAGTTGAGCTGTGACTGAACTGGTGTGCTTTGAAGAAACAACATACAAGAGTTAACTGGTGATATTGGTAGCTACTTTATATAGATTTATCATTAGGACCCCAGACTGTCCACTGCGATATAAACCAAAATGATGAATTAAGAAGATTCTATCTTAGTTTTTAACCAACCTGAATATTATTTTTCATTTCGGTTTTACTGTCACCTTAGAATCTAATTAAACTGAAGTCATTTCATAGGCTGTTTGTCAATCAGCCTTACGGGAACACTGTTTATGAGATGTGATTTTTGAAGCGTTTTACATATAACCGGAGGTCAACGGCAGTAAAAATGCTGTCACAGAGGGGTATCCAACATTTATCTATCTATCTATCACGTCAACTTCAAGTAATAAAATAATCATTAGCAATTAACATCAGTATTAAACAAATAAACTATTGTTTGGAAAATTTCACCATGAGTTCACGTCAGTTAGAGGACCGTTGGAAAATCATCAAGGAGTACTGGACAGCTGTTTTGTCAGCCTAGTTTAGGACTCTTCACCAGTACGAACCTACAACAGGGGTAAGAACCCGAGAACTCCCAGTTACAAGGCTAGCGAGCTCGTAGACCATTAAGCCACTGGAAAGCGATTAAATGGCCAGCCCATGAATTTTAACTTCTGCCAGTCCACCAATTCGCAATGTCTTCTTCGATTGGTAACTGTCCTCATCTTCAACCCTCTGTATCCTACTGGTCACGGCTTTTCACTAGAACCCCAGGTAACTGCCTGAATAGTGTCAGTCGCTAGTAAGCATCAGATCCCTACAAACCAATACTTCATAAATAAACTATTTATTAAAATCCTAAATGAATCTTAATTAATAAGAACTACTAGTAGGGTTCATAGTATTTCATTCTCCTACTTTTAAGCTAATCACTTCGGTATATGATCCTATCGCCACTAAAACTCAAACCGAGTACTTATCATCACCATCTGCCAATACGAATTCAATACCTCACGTTAACGCTGTTAAAGGGAAGTGTTATATTCATCAAATTTAATTGTTTTCCTACACCGTATACTTTTTTACATATCGCAGATAACGGTAACGCCAGAAGATGAAATTTACCCTCAGAAAAGGCTAAGTAATACAAGGTGGCTCAGCGACATTGCGGTAAACCATGACGAGGGTTGTTCTACTTCACAGGCGAACTGGAAGTCACCAATTCAGTTGAATACTACTACTACTAATTCCGTCTCTGCTGCTGCTACTTTCACTACTGACAAAAATAAGAAGCCAACATTTTTCTGTCGCTTATTCAACAAACAAAAATCAAAACAGAAAATCAATTCGAATAATCAGAAAGCGAGTCATGCAACAAGAAAGCATTCTAAATGGTTAAAACAAGTAAATATGCCGGAACTTTGTATGCTATCCGCTGAAACAGATGAGAAATTTCAAAGTTCTCTGTATGAAGTGCAATGCACACTATATGATACATGGTTATTTGATGACAGTATAATTGAAAAGGTTCTATTAAAGTTTCTCACGAAGGTGTTCGCTCTGTGGAATACGCTAAATGTGAGTTTTAAGTTTTAATCATCTATTTACATATTATTGAAGAATGTTGACAGAATACAAGTGTTCAGCCCTGATAATTATGATTATCACTTAAAAGGATACTCTAATAAGAATTTTGTTAAGGGTTAGTTTTCATTAGGAACCGATGCTGCTAGATAAAATCCAATGAAAACCATAGGATGCTGAACAACTATCTCACAATGTTTGTCTTGAGGTATGTCACCAATGAACAGTGAGTTCAAGTTAAAAGGTAAAGTTGGTGATGAATCGATTGACTTCAAGGTCAGTTTTTCGAGAATTAATATCGGTAGAAACATAATTTCAATCTGCAGTTGTTTAGTGACTTTGTTTGAGATGGCTTTCCTGCGGGTATTAAACAAGAAATGGTGATCACTTAGGTCTATCAGGTTGGTTTTGAGAACAATTACTCATTAATAACGTTGAATGGTGAGGGTGCTGTGTTTCAAGTTCTGAAGACGAATTTCCGGAGTTCCAGAATCAGTGGCGAAATTTCTGTACATTGCCCCAGCTGATTTCAGTTCGTAACGCAATCCAAGTTAGGATGATTTGAATGTAAGGACATTTTACTGTTATTTCAGTATGTTACTTAATGTACCTGCTGTCATATTATTTCCTCTGCATTAAAAATAACCTTAAGGTGCAAACGTATTTCCTTTTACAGTTTATTAAATGTATGCCTGTTAAATGGTGTGAAAACCAACAGGATTTGTACTCCTTTTTAATCATCACTGAAGATTTATTCTCAGTGAAAGTGGAGTCAACATCAGAATTTCAAGAATTTTTGCATGAAACGCGTTTACTGCGGTTGGCGCTGATTGATTTGTCTAATGCTGGTTCAGGTCAACAGTATAACTGTGAGTAAGCAAAATAACCCAATGATTTCAGTTTTTTGAAGTATGAAATGTTATTATTTATAACCATTGTAATTTCAGGTAGTTTGCAGCTGATGAGAACCTGTGAAATTGAATGATATCATTTTATACTGCAAATCTGGTCCTTCTTTCTCTATCAAAATTTATCAAGGGAACCAAATGTATGAGATTTCAGTTTTCGTTTGAGATTTTGATATTTAAACAGGCTGTAGAGCACAAATAGTTGAAAATTTGAACCTTATTCACATAAAAATGAGTTCACTGGTTGGTGAATGTAATAGTCAGTCTATGAACCAGATGTTTATAATTTATGCTAACGATTTACTAATACAACAAATATTGATTTGTGAAGTTGTAAATTAGCGTTGACAAGATCTGACTTCTTACCGTTTAGAATCAGAGAATACTATAACATCGAAGTTTATCACCAACAGGATTCACACATCTTACATCAGTATTGACTCACAAGAGATACTTTTGAAAAATACACACCTATTTTTCATTTGGAAAAATTCTTTTAAAATTCCTTTGTGCATATATAATGCTGTTTTAAATGGTGATTAAGGTCACTACAGATACAGATCTTTACTTTTCATTAGATCAGAAATGCTGCGTTAGTGGGTTTGGAATTTATATACTAGAGTAAAAACTGAGCCAAGTTTATAGACAGACAAAGTTAATTTCGGGAGAAATATCCTTCAGTTATTATTATTATTATCAACATCATTATTGCAACATCAGTTTTGAAAGTAACCCGAATCACTGTAGGGGGTCTCTGGCACAGCGGTAGAATTCATTATTATTATCATTTTGTAAATTTTTGAACTTGTTCTTAGTGCTCAAACCGAAAAAATTGCTATTATCACCTATGGTTACCTGTACCCTGTAACGATTTTTCTCGTTGAGTAAATCAGATGAGAGTGCTGTGAATTCCATACTGTATCATAAGTACTGTTCTGTAATAAAGTTAATTGCTATTATTATTATTATTATTACTGTTATCACTCTTAAATGATACTGAATTTTCCGTAACTTTCCGTAACACTTTTCTCTCAGAATTCTGTGGTAACATGAATATTAAAACTTGTTGTTTTATTTCATTTTTGTGAATTGACCAGCTGTGGACAGCTCGTGTGAATACTCTGGACCAGCCAAATGTACTAAAGATATGGAAACATTTTATTATCAGGAGAGAGAAGTTGAAAGTTTAATTCATGAATATTGTGTAAGCATTTTAACTAATTCTATCCACCTTGTGTTTGTTTTTATTGCAATGAAAGCAAGATAATAATAATAATAAAACAAAGTAATAAAAGATGAAATATGGCATTTGGTATAAAAAGTAGCTGGTTTTTATTCATATATATATATATAAATCAAGAATGAAGTTGTTAGTCTGTAGTCAAAGGACCAAATATGAGATAATATAGGGTAAAAGCAACGTCAATTGGTCAATAGAAAGCGACCATTGTTACCATTCAATGTGATTCGCAATTGCGGTATACTCTGAAAACATTTTAGGTGATGCGAGTTGGAATCTCCACGACGGGGTACAAGAACCGTGTAGAGTGCAGACACATCTTGCCAGCCAGTGCCGATAAGAATGCAATCTAGGATCAAGGCTTCTAGCCGGCTAACTTCAAACATCTGACATTGAGCAAAGACAATGTCATGTTGAAATTTATAGGGAAACTGCTTCAGTCGACGTTATTATTGATTACTAGTAAAATATATGAAGAGAGTTAGCAAAATGTAATTACACTATCGGTAGGCAGACCGAGTAAAACTTTAAGCACCACTAACTACCAATCGATGAATGACCTTGGATGGTCCAATGAATCTCATCCACATGAGTTGAAGGTTCTATTCCGCTTGATTCGAGTCAAACATCTGCTTTAACGCAGTTGTGTTTGCAATTTGGTGAGGATAAGGTTTTCCTGTATTGCTTGGATGTGGGGTTGATGAGAAAAAAAGGATTTTGTTCAGGTGGAGGTGTCACGAGTTTAAAAAGCTTCAGTAAGTCGATTGATGGATTTATCCATCGTTCTGCAATTTGTTTGAGACGAGTTAGTGTCAGGGAAGGTAGGCTAATGATTCTAATATTTTGTAGGAGCATTTTTTGCCAGGTCCCATCTATCCTTAATCCAGATTTTGTATATTTTTGTAATTATTGGGTTTATATACAGCCTATGAGAGGTACAGCTGTTGAAACTAAAAATAGCTTCGTATCAACAGTTCAGTGGTGCCAACACTGCAGAGACATCGCGTCATGGAAAATGGCGAGAATTACTTCGTTGTTAGGAGGAGAAGGTGTCGTCGTACACGTGGACGAAACTGTCTTATTGAAGAGAAAATATAACTTTGGTGGTGAGCAAGCAAACAATGTTTAGGTGATCGGCTTATGTGACACCTCTGTGAAGAAAGGACTCGTGAAAAGAATACCAGACAGAAAGTCTGCTACTTTAGTACCTATTATCACTAGACTGGTGAAACAGGGATTTATGATACACACCGATAACTCTCTGTCATCCCTTGGATATATTCATCACAGAGTGAATCATTCTAATGATTTCGTGGATCCGATTACAGGGACACACATTATTTCCATAGAAAGCTTTTGGGGAAAATTAAAAAACAGGATTAGAGCTATAAATGGATCTCAATAAGGACATCATTTATAGTCAATTGGATGAATATGTATACAGAATGTGGTGTAACTTTCCAATTGATGCTCCTATACTAAACTGGGAGATGTTTCCATCACATGTCAGAGGTTGATACCCTGTGTAATAGTTTTATGCAGCTTTCATGCATTTCTTTTCATAAATATGTTTTCCATAACCGAAAATGCCTCTTTCATGTGATTGGTCCGTTGAAGGTCATTCACTGGTTAGTAGTTAGTGGTGCTTAGAGTTTAACTTTGTCGGTAGATGAAATGGTCACATGCTGCATAACAAGGATAAAATTGGTTAGATTAAATTCAAAGAATACACTGTGTATGGCTTTTAAAATATGAAATGCACAAATCAGCTCTTAGAAACTTGAAAGTGTTGGTATTCGATTAGGCATTGCAGGGGATAAATATTGATAAATAATCTGGATCAAAGGGTTTCTCAAGGGAGATGATGTTTCTCAGTTTGATACCAAAGACATCATTTGTGGGCGAACCTCAGCTGACTGAAGTAGTCAGAAAGAATGTTCTCAGCTCAGAGAGCGCAATTACACTCGTATCATTTAACTCAGCTACAAATCTTCCCCATCATATCTGTATCAAAACACTTTTAGTCTTGATAAATTTTCAGGGTTTTTTGACAGACATCAGTTTGTAATGAACACTATTTGAAAATCAATGAATTTTCGAAAAATTTACATTTAATTCCTTTTCAGATATTTAAACAAGTGTGCAATCTTTATGAATCCCAAATACTAGAGAACAAAAGTGTAGCGATATCTCCCCAATCACGTGAAACAAAATGTAGCTTACAGTAAGTTATACAAAAATCTTTTATTTTCAGTGTATATTTCTGACAGTGAATCTCTTTGTGAGAAGTTAGATCATACTGACATATTGACCTCATTCAGGAAATTAACAAAATTCTTGTCGTGATGAACTAATGAAAACATCGACAGTAAAACTTGCAGTCAGAAGTATAGGTCTTTTGACATTCATCTGTCCAACATATGTGAAACTGTGTAAAAGCTAATTGGTCACTTGCAGTTCAAACTAATCGGTTTCACCACCTCTTACGACACTGCTGGATTACGAAACAAACTAAGAATGACAATGTCTTGCCAATGAGAAATCACTTTATTCCCCTTTATTTGTCACCTTGTGTTTCCAGTGAAATACAGGGTGTCAAAGAATTATACCACAAGTTCCTATTATTTTCGAAGACGCTTCGAATCAACAAATACTAAGTATGATTATCGACTTCAGCTCCCAAACACAAGGACTTGTAATAAGAAAATATATTCTTCAGCAAATAAATTCAATATTTCATACAGTGTCTATAAACAAATGTTTTACAAATAATATACTGTACTTTTATTCATATTCTTTCGTCTTCTTCCAACTTGTACACGACTGAACCATTCGCACCTTTGAGTTGCCCGCCAATGGCGACCAAGGTCAATGAACCAACGTTCAATGTTCACGTTCATTTACAAAGGGTTTCAAGCTTTTAGCTTTGGAATTTCAGTTGCAGCAGTATTTTATTTTGAAGGGTGTGTGTTTGCCTGCTATCATCACTCCCTTAGTTCCCTTCCTTTCCAGGCTTATTACTGGCTAGGCGAGGTTTCGGAGTATCGCAGTTGGGAATATCACTTGGAGCACTTGCAAAGTCAGTGGAGATTCTACTACCTAACCACCAAGACACCAAAAGAAATTACAGGTCTATATAATGAATACATGCGATCATTAAACGTGAAATAAAAGACCTGTTAGGCAATCGAAATTGATTATCAAATGCAAAATTATAGACCATTTAACAGTATGAAAGGTAGAATCGTTGTTTTCACTTACATATTACACCTTTTTCTGATGTATCTTACTAGTTTCCTTATAAGAATAATGTATGTTCAGTAAAATAGATGAAAATGAAAGAGAAATTACTACTGATAACTTAAATAGTAGTATAAAGAAGATGAGCTGTTTTTTGTTTACAATACTGAAGAGTTTACATTAGACCAATATTCTACGTGTACTGGTATTAATTAAGATTGGTCGGTCTGAATAAACAAAAATCTCATCGAAGCAAGAGTAGTAATCAAGTAACTATTAATAATTCATAACACAAGAATACATCCTGACTGAAAGGAAGACTTCCTCAGATGTTTACAACAACTTCTAAAGAAAAATAACCATGTGGATTGTTATTTATGTCTCTTGATTACCTAATTACATTATCCCACTGTAAAGAAAACTCATTTTATCCTTTAGAGTCTCATTAAGTTTACCTTAACAGTCATTATGAATTAACCTGTAGAATAGTCATGCATTTATATCTCATAATTTATTATTTATTATTAATTCCTTCACGTTCCCAGTGGAACATAGGTCTTCAAGCTGGAAACTTGAAGTTTCTATAGCAGTGTTTATTTTCACAGGAGTTGCTAGACTCATGCCCAACCTTTCCTCTTTACCAGCTTTATTCCTGGCTTAGCGTCGGCCGGGATCGAACCCCGGACCATGTGCATGGTCGGCGAGCGTGCTAACCGCTTTGCCTCCGACGCACTATAACTCATCAGAGAATTGAATATTCTGACATCTAACTAAGGGTAATTTCATAATCACTCATCTGTACCATGACTAGCTGACAGGTTACAGCATGGGACTTTACACAGAAGTGCAGTGATTCAAGTTCTCACACTGCACATAGCAAACTAAGGAAGAAAACATAGATTCGAGAGAACGTAAATAAGCAGAAATGTGAGGGAGAAACAACAGTAATATAGAGAAACAGTAGGGTTTAATGGATATAGGATATCACAAAGTGTGAGTGCTTCTGCATCATTGAGAATGATTTTGAGTCATATCGCAAGGAGTCTGCAGCCAGTGATTCTTGGAATCTCGAGGACCCTAACCGGGAATCGTACACCCCCTTACTTTTTCAACCTAACCATCTAATATTTCATGGAGTGATGGTAAGTTTTGGTTTGACCACCACTAGCTCTTTTTCAAACTAATCCTATTGCATGGTTTCAATTAGGCAAAAAATATTAGTGGGTTAGTAAACAATAGAATATCTGTAGTTTATATATATATATATATATTCAACATCATTTAAGAGGATCAATAATATTTTTTATTTTTATGTAACAGCTGACCTGGTTTTCCCGAAGTTCCTTATCTGATATATATCACTTAAATGACCTTTACAGGAGTCATCTAATTACTTAAACCTTGGTGATACAAATTGTTGCAAACTATTCACGATTTGTTAGATGGTTGGAGGCAGTCAGCAGGAAGCCTTGGACTTAGGTTTCGTGATTGTTGGTATTTAGTCAGCTAGGCATATCTGCAGTAGGGATGGGACTGACATCCGTTCTGAAATTTACACCCTGGTCATTAGAAGCTGCAGTCAAAGACGTAACCTCTGAGCTATTCGTCTTCGCGATTTACCTCCTGTAGAATTGTAATGGATACTTTGATTGACATAACACCAAGGACTAAATGCATGACATTAATTACTATTTAGTGTCTGATCAACGTATTACAGTACAGTAGTACTGATATATTGGTTCTAGGGGGTTTAAACGTCAGATGATAGTTTCCTTAATTTTGAGAATTAGCGATACAATCCTCTTTAATTTACCTGTTGAGATGAATTCTTCCAAACACTTGCAGAAGTATGAAATTTCCTAGTGAGTGCCGCTGTTTAGCGTAAATAATTTTCAGCGGCTCATATCAATCAGGATTGTTTCCGTTTAGCAGTTAAGGTAGTTTATCTGTCAGATAGCACCAGTCGTTGGGCATTAGTTCTGTACATCATCAAAATTTGATGGTTGACTACAGTCATCATTAAAAGTCACATTTTGTGTTGCAGCAAAACACAGATGTATTTGTAGTAGAATTGTCTATTTGGCATAAAGATGTAATTATGGTGAAGTACAGAAACCTTATAATAAAATTTCTGTTAGTGAATGTTATTTGTATTTTGCCTCCTCTTGTACTTCTTTTATGCCTTTTTATACTTTGTATTTTCACCACTCTGCTATTGAAGATTCTTACAGAAGACATCACACAGTATTCTACTTACAAATTCCTGTCAGTAGTATATGCCATGATTTTAATTATTTGTGAGCTGATTGACCTAATGATTTGATTGACATAATATCAAAGATACTGCAGTACTCATTTTTTAACTATAGAACTCAGTGGTTTTGATAACATAATCTCTCGTCATTAAAAGTAGAAAGTAAAACAAGTGAAATCATAGGTTTACTGTATATTTATTTTTTTTTGGTAACAGCTTGATTCCACACTGTATTTTTGGTACAAGTATGGAATTTTCAGCATGGATATCGGTAGCCCAAATTTCGCAGGCCGACCACAGATATCTGGTGTGCGCTGGTGTGGGCTCGAAACCCGGACCATGTGCATGGTCGTCGAGAGTCCTAACCACTGTGCCACCGACGCAGTTTTTGAGTGTTTTTGAATGTGGTCTATACCAGCTTAACATGGAAAAGGTGGAGTGAATTCTCTGTTCTTTTCCATTTTTTGTCTAACTTAAGTGCCTTCAACAAGCAGCTTTTTAAGAATATTAGTCATGTGAAGACAGGAGTAAGATAAGGTTGCCATACATACGGAATACAGTTCGTCTGAAGCGATAAGACGGGAACGGGTTAGACCGATGAGATGAGTGTGGAAGATCTGAACTTTGCGGGCGATTTATGCCTAATATCATACAGATAAGAAGGCTTTCAGATGAGAACCAAATTGTTAGGAAGAGAAGCAGCATTGACAGGAGATGATGAACATACCCAACCAACAACAAGTACTAGTCACTGCTGGTAGACGAAATTTGAAGAAGGTTATTTCTCTCACCTATTCAGGGAACATTGTTCAAGCTAGAGTTGATGGTGATGTAAGTTTGAAAGCCATGACCGGAAAGGTGAGACAGACATTCATCACTCTAAAGTCGGTCTGAAAATCTTCTGCATTGAGAAAAATAATAAAATTCGGATTTTCAACCCCAATGTTAAGTCATTCACTTCTTCTATATGCGTGAGAAACTTGGCGCCTTCTGCAGACTTTAGACTTTCGCCTGCCCTTGCTCGTTAATAAAGATAGGATGGCTGTTCAGAAAGAATCAGCAACAAGAAACCTTGGGAATAAACCAATCAAGAACCTATTGCTCAACAAAGAAAGTGAAGATGAATAGGACACCCACTGAGGAGAACGTTGAGTGACATTACGTGCCAGGTCATCTCTCGAGTGGAACACGAATAGGAGACGACTGGTGAGATGTCCAGAGGAGATCGCAGATTATAGGCAATCGTGGGTCACCTGAGGAGGACTTCAGAAGACAGAATGAAAGGAAGATTTGCTGCTGGAGCCCTATTTTCTACTGAGAACTCACGGTATTAATAGTAAGGCATGTGTTCGATAATTTGTGATATAGTTTCCAGGGAACGCATAAGATCAATACGAAATCACTAATCCTATGAATTTTATCTTCAGTTTACTCCAGATGCTTCCAGGGTTATTTTTTGATAAATTCATGATTTAAAGGAATATTAATATCCATGGGAAACTTAATATTGTGCAGTCATATTTGCAGTACAGTACATTTGCGATTTCTTCTAAAGATGGATGACTGTGAAGCACATGAAAACGATTACAGGACTAGCAGAATTACAAGGGATAGAAAACAGTGCTGAAGTAAAGCGGAAAAACTTACACAATTCAGGAAGTCTGCTGTAAAACGTCTCATAATTAAGGAATGTGAACTCTGATAATCACGATTAAATAAGAAGAATATTCATGTATGTGCTATATGTTGGTGGTCGTTAAATGTGGCAATACTAATGTGTTCAAAGATTTTTAAGCATTTCGGTACTTACGTCAAGTTGCCAGGTAGTAGAAAGTTGAATGAAATAACAAAATGCCCTCAGTATTATGTTCATACCTTTGAAAAATATTTCTTTCTAACATGTAAAGAAAGTTACAGTATTCTCCCTATTTCATTAACTTTTACTGTATTTCTAATTACTGGACATGAAATCTTGTTTACAGTTGCTTTACATTAGAAGTGAGGTTATTATTGTCTGGAGGTGAGCATCTAAACTAAATGGTTGCCACATTACTTTATCCTGACGTGTGTTATCGGAAATTTATGAATTAAGTTTATGAAATTTATTGGTTACAACTTTTGGTTGTAAAGAAAGGTAACAAGTTTTTCAAGTATATGTAAACAGTTTTTTGTTAACAAAAACGGAGAAAGGAAGGCGTACTCCCCAGTATGGTATACTATTTTAAGGGAAATGTTGCAGGATTTCATCATGAGCTGATATAGTTTGGAGAACCACTGGCAAACCAGGAAGTATTGGACAGCTGTCTTGCGCTAGTTCGGGACTCTTCAGCAGTACGCACCAACCGCCAGGGTTCGAGCCCAGGACCTGGTTACAAGGCTAGAGAGCTCGTAGACCATCAAGCCACTGGGACCCGATTCAGTGGCCAACCCATGGATTGAAAATTCTGCCAATTCACGTCATAGCGCCACCACCAGTCAATGTCTTCGACGGGTTTTAATCGTCACGCCAGAACTGCTGTACTTTACTGGTCACTACTTTCCACTAGAATCCAAAGTAACTGCCTGAAAAGGGCCGGTCGCCAGTGAGCATCTGATTTCGTGCTATCGAAGAGTCCCAAACTAGGACAAAACAGATGTCCAGTACTCTCAGGTTTTCCAGTGGTTCTCTAACTGATGTCAGCTCACAATGAAATCCTGTAACAAATCAATCAAATCCCTACAAACCAAACCTTGAATAATAAGGGAAATGTTTGACCGCCTTATATAAATGAATTTTTTTTGGAAAGTGATGCCTCTTTTCTACCCTCTAAGAAAGAATAGCTTCTATAGTAGACGTACTACATTTAGGTAGTATGAAATTTACGTTGAAATTTTGACATCAGAATGTTACACCGGTTATAAGTAGTTTAAACCAACTTAGTGTAGAGTAAGTTGTCTTATTTGCCCTTTTGTTTAGCTGTGTTAAATGCATATGCATAAACCTTAACTACACAAGAAAATTACATAAGTTTGAATAACCACCTTTTCATTTCCATAAATTCTTTTATAATTAGTAATGTACTGAGACCAGTATCAGGAGAATTAATCTGGAAATCTCTAAGCGGATACATTAACAACTCAGTACAGAATACAAATTTTATGAAAACATCATTCTCTTCATCTTTATTCAGACGAAGTTCACAATATTTCAGAAGATTTGAATCGGATGGATCATTTGTGGAAAAGAAATTGGATTTGAATAACAATACAAGAATAAAATCACCTAATTCAGAAATCAACCTCGCTGGAAATAATATATGGAGAAGTTAGTTTATGCAAATGATTTTAATAACTTTTCACTTATTCAATTTTTTGTATAATTCAACAAGTTGAAATATGTCAGGAAACGAACACAGAATTACACCCAATTAAGTCGTTTACAATGTCTTTCAGCAAGGTGGAGAACAACATTTCATTGGAGTTCTATTATCAAGTTGTCAGCTGAAGTACTTATTCAGAATCCTAAATAGTTTAATTAAAAGAAAGTTCCTTCGTAAAGGATGCTTCCATCATAAATATGTCCTTGTTAAATAGCATTTTCAGCAGACTGATTACTGTTCGACTGGATTAAGTACTACAGAAAGCGTTAATCGGGTAGAAAGTAAAATAAATTTATTAGAATTGTAAATTTTTAGGTAATAAATTTCGTTAATGGGTTAGAAACTAAAGTAAGATTGAAGTAGTAAATTGGGTGACGTAGTCTAATTGACGGGTTTGAGTAGGGCTCAACTAAAATTAAAATTAAACAAAAGTCAGTTTAACAACAGTCGTAGTAAGGGGTAGAGATTTTATTAAGTGTAGAGCTACAAGGGAACCTTTTTTCTCCTTTATAAAACCATGAGGGTAAGTGAAACACCTGATCGTATCGGGACATCAAGCAATCTCACATAGTAATCCAAAAAATACTCGGGAATCTTGCCTAAAAAGAGTACGTGTCAAACTTCTACAAACCGCAGAAGTAATGACAATTCACATACTGAAACCTGAACTCTGCATACAAAAGAAGTTTGTTCAGTCATTCAATCTACAGTGGACCTGACGTATCTTTTTCCTGCTTGTTTGTGTGCGTCGGTGGCATAGTGGTTAGGACTCTCGCCGACCATGCACATGGTCCGGGGTTTCAGCCCACGCCGACGCACACCTGATATCTATGGTCGGCCTGCGAAATTTGGGCTACCGATATCCATGCTGAAAATTCCATACTTGTACCAAAAATACAATGTGGAATCAAGCTGTAAATAAAAAAAAATAAAAAAAAATTGTATAACATTTCCCCCCCACCCTTTAATAAGTCTATACCCCTTACTACCACTGTTGTTAGGCTGATGTTTGTTCCATTTTAATTTTAGCTGAGCTCTACTCAACCTCGTCGATTAGATCACATCACCCAACTTGCTTATTTAATCTTACTTTAGTTTCTAATCAATTACAAATTAATTGGGGGATAAACCAGATGCACAAATATCTTAACTGGTTTTATAGTATATTTTGGATACATTCTGTTTTTGGGTTCCAGTTTCTTAACTAAAAACACCTCCTGTCGTGGCTGCTGTGAACTTGTCTTGGCTATCTCACAAGTGCTAAGATGGTAGATTGTTAGTTGGACATATGACAGGATAACTATTTGTAAAAGTGAAAGTAAATTTCACCAGGCTCGTTATTCATTAAAACAGTTTAGGAAATAAAGTAGCACTGATGGCATAAATTAGTGCATTATGAGTGATTTTGTACAAGACAGAGCTCAATGTTTTCGATTTATAAGACAAACTAACTATCACTTAGGTGAGAAAATACAACACTGCTTATTAAGTAATTCTGTAAGTTGGTAACGTTTAACTATATAGTCAAGGATTTGGTTTCATTTGACTTCTTTTTCACAGGGCTTTAAACGACACATTAGCAGCTACTCACTTTAAACAGTTCTAAAAAGAATTTTAAACAAACTAGTCGTATTTATAAAGAATGAATAAATTCAACTATTTGTGTGATTCATTTGGTTTTCGGAGAATTTCAGTGGTATCAAGGAAGATTTCACCACAGATAAACGTTGTTTGGAGAGATTATTATAGAAATCTTAGGATCTTTTGTTTCAACTACCAGCTGTCCTACATCAGCAATTTGACGCCAGCACCGTTCTACCTAGTCACAGAGTTAAGATTTAGTGATCTGTTATTTTAAAAGTCCTGTTATATAGCGGTGCCGCACCAGCTTTATCCAGAATTTGTATTTTTCTTGACAACTAGCTTCTTTTGGTTCAGTGGTTGTAATTTACTGTCCAGACTTCTGGATTAAATGTCAAAGATGATTACTGATGAATAATTATTTATAGTGATTTCGTTAATTTTTGGTAAGGAACCAATATCATCTCGAATTACAACCTAAACATGATTCGTTGTGGGTTCATATATTGACATTGCCGAAGAGTTAACGGTAGAACGAAACAACTGCTCAACCTTTCATACTTTTTAGTGATTCTAGCAATATCGACGTGTGATGAAACAGCTTTTGAGGCCAGTCACTTTTGTTAAAATAAGCCTAAATTGAATATCCTATTCGAGGGTTGTTCATGTGCTAAACAACATTTCGAATAAATAGAAATCATCCATGAATCAGAGTTTCGATAGATTTATTACTACGGATATATGCATATTATAGTCAGCCGATTCCAGTAGGAGTTGAGAAATAATGTACTGAGAGATTATCATGTTACAGCACCTTTTAAGACATGCACGCAGAAATAACGTTTCGAAACAGTCTTGTGGTAAATTTATGTATTCACTTTAAATCTCAATTAATAGTGGGATAAATGTTCAAGCAGCCAACTATCAACCAGGTGTCACGAATTCCAACCTTATCAGTGTTTATTCCCTTGTTCTAACTGAATTCTATCAGTCAGTTTTGTAATCTTTCTACCTAGCTAGGGAGTCCACTACTGTAGTGCACTTCGGACTGAATTCAGATGGCTGAAGTCAGTAGGCAAGAAGCCCCGTCCCAATAACCGCTGATTAAATGATATTCATTCTTACTGTTGTGGTTCACCGCATGCCATCATTAGCTCTCAAACATTAGCAAGTACCCCTAACATATTGTAGAGATGTGAAACTTCGACTAGTTATTGTGTATATTACTCATTTGTAATTGTTATCCAAAACCAAACGACATGGATAAGACAGAAATCAGAAACTCATATTCGATAGAATTATTTGCATTGTGTACATAAGATTAATGGAAATAAACAGCAGTGGACATTTAAATAATATAGTAATTGAAACAGTTAATCATCACAGTATTATATCCTCAAGGGAGGATATGCTGAGGTACAAATCAGAGTGGTATTTTAGTTGACAGATTCTCTGATCACTTTCTGTTATTCTCCTCGATGTAGTTACATTTGACTGACAGACGAGTTTCAGCATGGAATTTTACACAGAAATTCAAAAGTTCAAGTTCCAACACTCTATGTAGGAAACAAACAAAAGAGAAAAGGAAGAGATTCCAAGAACTACATTAAACAGAAATGTGAGGGAGAAAGAATAGTAACATGGAGAGACAATAGAGTCCAGTGAATATGAGATATCATAAAGAGTGAATGCATCTTCGCCATTGCAAATGATTTCGAGTCATGTAGCCAATAGTCTCCAGGCATTAGCGCCTAGGATCCTGAGAACCTCAACCAAGAAGTCTAGACCTCTGTGTGTGACTCAAACTAACTGTAAAAACATTTTTTACATGAACTAATGGTAAGTTTTCCAACCCGATTCAATGTCAGCTAACACTACCCGTCAAAGAAGGAGACGGGTGGGCATGCGCAAAACGTCTCGTTGGCATCTTGACTGATTCACCTTCACAACTTCATCGACTGGCCTTCTCTTCTAACTCAACGCTAACGCATAACCTCAATAGAACTCAGAAAACTATGATCAAAGATAGCTAACTTTTTCAACTACATTTTTTAGTCATTGAAAAAACTTTGGTGTAGTTTCTATGCGCATAGAAAACAATTTACTTGACAGTAAGCACTAGTGTCAGAAAAACATTTGTATTATGACACAACACTCATGTAATTTTTTTCCACAAAAACTAAATTCTGTCATCAGTGAAATAAATATGATAATAACCAGGGTGGTGCGTCGGTGGCACAGCGGTAGAATGCTCGACAACCACACATGTTGTTTGAGTTTCGATATCCGGTCGACGCATTGATTTACCTCGCTGGTAAACAAGACTGGTAAACAAGAAAGGTTTGATACGAGGCTTGTAACTCCATCTCATAAAATAAACAGAACTGCTACTGAAACTTCCAAGCTTTATACTTGAAGCCCTATGTTTCATTGGGAAGGTAAAAGAATAAAAACATTTCATACAACGATTCCTTTTTATAAATTTGAACAAAGAAAGAAAAAACATTGGCGCAGAATAATCTGGATCCATTTTGTTTCGTTGGTTCTCATCAGCTGCGTACAACTTTCGTCCCTTAGCTGGCATATTGTCAGAGGGTCATAGTGAAATAAGGCGTTGAGATTTACAACGTGTGTAAAGTGTTACGACATATATATATATATACATATTCTGTTACAGAGAAGTTTCTTGAAAAAAAATCAATTAATAGTTGTGTTGTTGGGGTGGTAACAAAAGAAAATAGGACTATTACTAATTTTCTTTTGTTACCACCCCAACAACACAACTGTTAATTAACTTTTTTCAAGAAACTTCCTGTAACAGGTATATATATATATGTCGTAACACTTTACACACCCTGTAAATCGCAACGCCTTATTTCACCATGATCCTCTGAAAACATGCTTGCTAATGGACGAAGGTCGTACGCAGCTGATGAGAACTGACGAAACAAAATGAATCCAGATTATTCTGCGCCAATGTTTCTTCTTTGTTCAAATAAAAAAAAATAACCAAAGTGATTATTAATAGTATAACCCTAGTCGATGATGTAATACCTATCCAGTCCAATCGCTTCACCGGAGACATTTCAATTATAAGAGAAAAATTTGATCTAGATTTATTTCTCCTGAATGTCTTCTCTCAGCAAGTTACTGGTGCATAATAGGAATTGGTGCATCCATTAACAACATGAGTTAAACTACATTAGACCAGTGAGCTTTTAATCATCTCTAGTTAGAATTGATGAAAAGATACAATTTACTACAATTCATTTATGTTTCACCTCTCATGGTTATATTCAAGCAAAGTTAACTTATATTATGACCATGTTCATTTTGTTTTGCTTTTTGTTGACGCTTTTAAATA